GGGTACACACTTCACAGGACAGGTAGTCGAGGAAGTTTCTAAAATGCTGAAGATTAAGTGGAATCTTCACTGCCCCTACAGGCCACAAGCATCAGGACAGGTTGAACGAGCTAATAGGACAATTAAAACCAGGCTAAGCAAAATGCATCAGGAAGGAGTTTCATGGGTTGAAGCACTTCCAGCGGTACTATGTAGTATGAGAGCATCACCTAACAGATCAGTAGGACTGAGCCCTCATGAGATTATTACTGGACGCCCAATGCAGATGCCAGGTGTAATTGATCTTAGAAATGCTGATGTGCACATCGTCTCAGATGCCCTGATAGCTTACTGTGAAAACCTTACCAAGTCTGTACAGAATGCCAGAGAGAGAGTTGTGTCGTGTTGGCAGAATCCACCGGAAGGTGGACACACAATCATCCCAGGTCAGTGGGTCATGATAAAATCATTCAGAAACAAGCCATTAGAGCCTAAGTGGCTTGGACCACATCAAGTGATGTTGATTACAGCAGCTGCAGTGTTGTGTCAGGGAAGAAAAACTTGGACACATGTCTCACATTGCAAAGTTGTTCCACCACCTACAGGGATAGGATAGGACACACAGAACAGTGGGGTACCCAGGGAAGAACTGATCCTTTAGGGATTGGGGGCCACCCCTGGGCGAAGACATCCCAATAGAATATCCCCCCATTTATTAGTCCATCCTAACCTTACTGTTCTTTAGGTGTCATGGGAATTAAGAAATAGGGAAAGAAGGAACAACTATAGCAGAATTAGAATGAACAGAGGATACAAAACTAGTGTTTTATTTTTACTTTTTATTTTTACCTTTTTTTCTTTTTTTTCTTTTATTTATTTATTTTTATTTTTTCCTTTTTTTTGCCACAAATACTGTTTCGTTGCTTTTGTTTCCTTCTTATTCTGTGCAGATACAACTTGTTGTCCTGAGAACCATAGACACCAACCTTCTCACCTACAAGTCCAGTCACAACCTTCAAGAGGCCACTGCTAAACCAACCATCACAGAAGAAAACACAACGCAGAGAACCACACACAGGAACTTCAGTCATCCATCAATATGATCAAGATTGCCGTACTAGGGATCATCATGAACATCGCACAAGCCATCGACTCACGAAGCAACATATTCTTAGAGCTGATGAATATGTCAAGAAATGCCTTGTTTGCTGGAAAGAACATCTGCATGCCACACCCACCTTCAGTAGGAGCAGGAATCCCCTGGGTGGCACACCCCATGTCCAACTGTGACACGTGTACATTATTTGGAGTTCACACCAGTGGAATATACAACAAGAGTACATGTCACAACATCACAACTCCTCCAGCTACTCCGTGTTGCATTCCTGGATTACCATCCTGCAACCTAACTTCAGCAACTCCCATCATGACAGATTTACTACTGCCAATAATTTTTTCCTGGTGCGTGGAAAATAATGCTCCATCCTCAACTCCACTGGGTAAAATTCCTCGCGAACGATGCAACTTTGTCATTGAAATGAGAACAGGATCCCATGTGGACATTACCCCATCAGCAGGGATAAGGGAAAAGAATTTAGAAGCATGTCTCCACGGGACACGATCTCTTCCAAAACTCTTCGCAGTGAATCAGTGGTGCATGATTCCTCCACCAACAGGAACTTTTTGGTTATGTGGAACATCAGCCTATGACATCCTTCCCAGCCAATTCAATGGCAGGTGCACATTGGGCTACGTTCTACCAGCTATCAGAGAAAATACACACGCCACACCAAGCTCTCTACATCTGCATAACTCCGCTCCCACCACAAAGGAAGAAGATGGCTGCATTCCAGGACTCACTTGTGCACAAACATGGTGGTCAAGAACTCTTGGAGCAATAATTCCTTCTTATGGTGTGATGCAAGCCCTTGATCAAGTCAGAAGCTTATCAAATTCTGTTCAGAAACTGGCCAATGATACAGCTTTTGCCCTGGGTAATATCACAAACACTCTTGCTTCACACAAGATAATGATCTTACAGAACAGAGTGGCGTTGGATTACATTCTAGCAAAGCAAGGGGGAGCTTGCACCATCATAGGCCCAGAGTGTTGCACCGGATTAATGGATCCAACCAAGAACTTGAACAAAATTCAACAAGACATACTTGATCTTTCAGTAAAATTGCACCGGATGACTGAAGACAATTCTTCATGGTTTGGAAACCTGTTAGGAAAACCCTGGCTGTGGATCAAGGAAATAGCTATTCTTCTATTGCTTTTCCTACTGTTGTACTATCTATGCATCCACAGTATCAAATGTTTTACTCAACATTTGACCCACGCCCATGACGAAGAAATGACAGTTCCAACCAGAACAGAATATTATCTATAAGAAATCCATGGATTTTAGCGGCATGTTTGTTCCTGTGTCAACATGTCATTTGTAAATATAGACAGTAAAAACTGAGCAAGTAGTATGCGCCTGTAACCATAATACGTTACAAGAATGAACTTTCTTTTCAGTGTATAAATTTATTTATTGTGAGAGTTTTTTTTATAACTCTCAAAGGGGGAACTGTGGAAATATAAATTTCTAGCATCTAATTCCAAATGAACAATACTCTACGTATAACTGAAAAGTTATTTTCTTTGGTTTTTTTAATTAAATCATTGCATTGACGTGCCATATAGGAGGGACATTTAACCTTGCCTTGCTGACTACAGACTTCATTTGTATGCTAAAGTGATGTAATTAATGGTTTCACAGCATGGCTGTATCTATTGTATTCCCTGTCTCCAGAACATCATTTGCAAATTGTTGTAATGATGTACTTATCTATTGATGAGATCAGCATGGCACCCAGACTTCATTTGCAACCATGGCACCCAGACTTCATTTGCATGCTTTGTTTTACTGTCCCCCATGACTGACCCCACCTACATGCTGTAAGATGTATAAAATGTATTGCTTTGCTGTGGAGTAGAGAGTTTGCTTTCGATGACGCCACAGCCACGCTGAGTTTCCTCTTATTAAAAAGGATTCTGCTTTGAAGACAACCGAAAGATTCTCCCTGGTTTTTTGTGGGCTCTTAGAAGTTTACAACAGTTGTTTCTGATGAGATAAATATAGACTCAGTAAATACATGCTTTCAAAACAAGTTCAGCCACTAAAAACATGTGACAAGCTGGGGGCACTTCAGATCATTTTGGAATGGCACTTTCTATCCAAGACTAAAAAGGGGATGTGCAGTGTATAGGTTGAGCCATATTTGTGCCTGATTACACATATTTGTGCCTGATTACACAATCGATGCTGTAAAAGGAAAAATATAAAATTTCAAAAAGTCATAAGCTGTGCATATACCCTATTTATGTGTACTTACACAATAATTGACAGTAACAGATTTTAAACTAAAACCGTTGAAATTTGCTAGCAATATAGAAACTAAAATACTGTTAACACTAGCGTGTTTTTGTTTTAAAGGCGTAGGTTTGGTATGCTAAACATAGCATCTTCACTAACCAGCATTGCCAGATCCTAAAAGCGAAACAATGCGAAAATGCTGAAGCTTTGTTTTAGTTTAAAGATGCGGGTGTTGTGTTTCATTATAGGTTGGCCTCTTTGAAAGGACCATAGACCTCTTTAAAAAAAAAAAAAAAAAAAATCATTCATTCATTCACCTTTGGCTTAGTCAACCACGCTGTAAACCCTAATACGTTGAGACTACTCAAATGATTTGAGGAAAGTGATTTCCTCAGTTGATGGAGTAATGGAAAATTCATTGAGTTGACCAAATGTGGTCTCTTCATTTAATTAAATTAAATGTTTAATTATAGAAAACTTAAATGCTTAAAATGACTAATAGACTAAACTTAAAAGTTTTATATTCTTTACTTACTCCCAGGGCCATTTATATCGAAGTTGATATTTAGTCACACCATTTAAGTGTTTTAGAACATATAATTTTTTTACGAGGTGGGTCATTAGCCCAACACTTAACCCCCAACCAGGAGGACCGGGTCATACCACTGATGATTTAGCTTACCCAATTCACCTATAGTGAATGTTTTTGTGGGGGACCTGAAGCACACATAGGAAACCACCCCAACACAGGGAGAACATGCAAACTCCACACAGAAATGCCAACTGACTCAGCAGGGACTCGAACCGGCAACCTTCTTGGTGTGAGGTGACAGTGCTAATCACTGAGCCATCGTGTCGCCTTAAAAATAATCAGTAACAACGATTAACAGCATTTGCATTGTTTTTCTTTTTTTTCAAATAATGGTATTTTTTCTAACTTCTATACAGTCGTTTGAGTTGACTAAATAATCCATAGCAGTGACTATACCGCTCATTTAAACACTTTACTGACTACGAGCAGACATTCAGGGAAAAAAGCTAAAACTAAAACTTATTTGTTAACTAAAATAAGATTTAGGCTAAATAAATGATTTACAAAAGACTAGATGAACATCAAAAAGAAGAAGCATCATAGCTATTTTTTAAAACCTCAACAGCTAATAATAATAATAATAATAATAATAATAATAATAATAATATTTTAAAGTATATAGGCCTACACTCTCCAAAAATTCTATAAAGCCTAAAGCGATGGAAAAGCACAAGGTGAAATAAATGTTTATCAAAGTACTGATGTTCTCGTTTACAAATTCCAGTTACAGTAAAATAAATACAGTACAGCATAGTAAGGATCATTCATACAGTTCTTTATAAAAATAAAAATCTAAATAAGCAAAATTCTTAAAGAGCCAAAGCACTGATCTATGTAGAGAGCATTTCAAGTCAATTCTGCCATATTTTCATTTTCAAGTCGACTTTTTCGTCAAAAATAAGAAACATATCCATATTTTTCAAACTACATCCATACAAAAATATCTAGATATTATAAAATGCTCGCATATCATATCCAGATGTCTTTACAAACCAAACAATCTGATCTACTTTCGCTTCAAATAAATAAAAAGTAACGAATCTGCGACTCTGAACGCGACTTTCTACAACAACACGCCATATTTGATTCAGCACCAGTGTGTTATGTGATGTAACGTTAGCAATTGCTAGCAGACCTATACTTCGCCTTTCCCGCCTTTAAAGAAATGGTTATACATTTTTAAAAGCCTATTACTTATTTTGGCGTGTCCTGTGGATATTGGAATGTATCGGCGCGGGGGAAGCAAGAAGGAGCAAAACAATGCGACGAAGGAGCAGAGCGACAGCAGCAAGTACGCGGAGCTGCTGGTGTTCGGCTACGCCTGTAAGCTGTTCCGGGACGATGAGAGGGCCTTCTACCACGATCAGGGCAAACACCTTATCCCATGGATGGGGGACAAGAACATCATGATCGATAGGTCGGTTAAACAAACCTAATGGGAATTATTACTTAACCAACTTAATGTCTTCCAAAGGGACCTTGGATGTATGTTGTTTTGCAGCGCAAGAGGTGGAGCTGATGGGCACTATGTGATGTTTACATGGCCAAACGTGAATAAAAAGAAACGACATTGATATATCTAAGTTAACTTGCTTGGATTGTGATTTTTTTATAAGCTCAATGCAATGACAACACCGTTAATGGTTTTAATAAGACGTTTTAAACAGCCCGGTGGTTTGTTGGTCTTATTGTTTATATATGTTTTCCAGTCTGATCAAGGTGGTTTGGAACATTACCAGATCCATGGAAAACAATCGGAAAGACAAACAAACCAGTGTAGGCTGGTCATGTTTAATATCTGAGGCAGAGTCCTTTCTCATTTATAAAGTTGCATTGGCTGATTGTGTCTGAATGGGTCGAAGATGTGGAGTTTCATTTTGATATTGACATAAAATTAAATTTCAACAGTACATTTATAAAAGTTTACCATATTGTATATCCCTGTATCCCTGTTCATTTTAAAGCATTCTTGGGAAAATAAAATGTCAAAATCTGAGTAAAACGGCATTTTATTTCTATAACCTTAACCAATGTATTTATGTAAAAATCCAAAAACTTACTTTTTCTGCCTGGAAATAAGTAAAATTATATATTCTCAAACTGATATATATATATATATATATATATATATATATATATATATATATATATATATATATATATATATATATATATATATATATATATATATATATATATATATATATATATATATATATATATATTAGATAATTAAGAAGTTCTTGCAGTCAAATGGATAAAAACTAGTATTTTGAAGGGTAGTGATAAAGTAAAAAAAAATAATAATAAATAAATACAATTAAGTAGTGTGTTGGGCCTGCAGTGATCTATTAATATAGTTTTTTTAATATGCCATAAATTGGGCTGTGCGATTTGGGGAAAATATCTAATTGCTATTTTTGTTTTTTTTGAGATTTTGTGATTTTGATATGATTAGCTATACATTTTTTTTAAATTAAGTTTAAACTTGCTGGCAACAGTTCTGCGACAGCCCTTACAAATGACCTGTTTTTGTGGTGTCTGTGACTTTGAAACCAAAATATTCTCATTATCGACATGCTTTTTTAAAATCATAATTCGTCTATTAATACTTCTGTAGCAGCAGACGTCATCATCCCACTTGCTCGCGCTTTCCTTGTTTCCTTGTTTTTACTTGTTTGGGCATCTCTGTGTTATAAGAAAAAAAAATTAAAGCTATATTGCATTTTTTTCTTGCTTGATCTCTCCTCTCATCTTTGACCCATTTAAATTCAATATTAAAACAAATTAACATGAATCAAAATATTGAACAAATCTCTGAGTAATGTAAGGACTCTGCTTCCTGACACTTGGAGAATTTGCTGTGGTCACTTTGTGTTGCATTCAACGATTGAATGCAAACCACAGCAAACTCGCATCAGATTTACCTGCTAGTCCGTGCATTAAGGTGGTTCTCAAATATGATGTGGTCTGAATTTAATCCTGTTCTATAAATACTTCTTTTTGTGTAGATCCAAAGTTTAACCTTGTTCTTTTGCAGGAATTGTTTGTATCATGTAATGAGATATTGTGTTTATATGTGTTTTCTCTCTTCTTCCACACTTTTTCCAGCTGAAGTCCTTTAAAAAAATGTAAAATTGATAACAAACCAGGAGTGTTGAACTGAGGTTGCATTGAGCCACCTTAATCTGCATGGATCTGTTTCTTGTTTCCGATGTGTATGTGTGTGTCTCTCTATCACGTAATACAAACTTATTTCCTCAGCAATTAAGGCTAAGGGGTCCCGCCAGGCCCCGATTGCCACCTCAGCGCCCACTTCTCTCTTTCGCCGAAGAAACTGGAACTGAGAAGTGGAATTCAGCAGCGAGCGCAGGAAAATTTCCTCCATATGGGTTCTTACGGATAGGTATTTATGTGCTCGGGTTTGTGTGGATGTACTTCTTTTACAGTAAATGTAGGAAAGATGATGCCAGTTGTCTCAGTAAGTTGGAATGGTTTGTTGAACCATGTAAGGTAAGAGGAGAGTTGTTTGCGTTTTCTGCTTATTTATTCGTTCTTTACTCTCAGACCTGTTGCGTCATAGTGATTTAGTACATTTATTGTGCACTCATCTGTTGATTTGCTGAGTGCGTCGTATAGGCCACCTGACTTTGCCGCCCAGGCATTTGTTCAGTTCTTCTCACGCAAACCTTGTAGGCCAAGTAGAATTTTGAAAGTAGGGCATAGATGTGAATATTTAAACAAAAAGCTTTACTTTTAGGGTTCTCCAGTTTGGTGAGTATCTGTTGCATGGTAATCCAATGTTAATTTCCTCTCGCCTTTAATCATGTGATTCGTATTGCAGGTATGATGGGCGTGGTCATTTACATGATCTTTCGGAATATGACGCTGGCTCGTGGAATCACGACTACCAGCTGTCCGAGGAGGAGGCCAGGATAGAGGCTCTGTGCGATGAGGAGAGGTACCTGGCTATGCACACCGACCTACTAGAAGAAGAGGCCAGGCAAGGTAAACACACAGCGGTCTATCAGTTCAGTCAATCTCTATGCATAGTTCAAGCATGTGGAGTTTGTGGCAGCTGGAGTGCAGCATTGTTTTTTAATTAGCTTTATTTTCTAAGGCACTAGCACACCATGCTGACTATTGGCCTTGTGTGTGGTGTGCACCATCCACACATTTTTTGTCCCATTGAGAATGTTGAATTGGCGAAGATGTTGTTTATGGAAACCGACATGCCCAAATCAACTACCAAGACCTATCAGAGTTGTTTTTAGTTTGAAGGTGTTGTCAAGTATTTATGTGAAATGACGTCTCATGCAGCAACAAGTGCATACAACAACAAGCTAATGCAGCTCACTATAATAGAGAGAAATGTTTTCCCCCCTCACAGTGTATTAACTGAACCTTAATTACAAACTGGAGATGCACCCGCCTCATTATTAATACGTTGCTAAGCAAGTAAATGTAGATTGCAGTGCTGGTGGTTGTATCTAGTTCACTATAGAAAGAGGATATTGGTTCATCCTCCATATATACAGCAAATTTCCTGGAAAGCAACTAAAAACATTATCATCATGTATAATAATATAATCTTTTAAAAACTTTTTTACCTGGAAATACATCTCTTTGTCTATTATCTCCTTCCCTTGTCAGGTCACCAGGTTGCATTTGTTTTACCAATCAGTACTGTAATTTTAAAAATGTCAATTTCCTGCTTATATTTGAGTGATGATGAGCACGTTCTTAAACACCACTCATTTGCCATTGTGTCATGAGCTCAACAGAAATGACTGTGATTGGCCGTAAAGGTCATCAGTTCACCAAACTCTGCCCTTTACTTCACTTTACTTAGTGTAACCACAGATACAGGGGCACTGGAGCATTTTAAAGCCGTGATTCATCAACGGATCACTCGTTTGTCAGTTTATAGAAAAACCAGCTGATTGATGCAACTTTGAAACGCTCTAGTGTCCCTGTATCTGTATCAACAGTTGTGAATTTGGTGTCCAGATGACCTTAACAGCCAATCAGAGTCATTTCTTTTGAGCATGTGAACACAATGGCAAATCAGCATAGTTTAAGAATGGGCTCAACGGCGCTCAAATGTTTGTGGGAAATGGACGTTTTTAAAATTTTACTACCCATTGGTACCGAAATCAAGTATTGTGACAGTCCTAATGCGAACCCTGAATAAATACAGACCCAACAGAAGAAGTTATTACAGTTTTTATATTTTCCAAACAAAAGTGTTCTTGGAGCTTTGCATGATTACAATCAAACCACTGAAGTCACATGAAATGTTTTGCCAATGTTTTTGGTTCCTTTTGTGGACCATTGCGGTCTATGGAGAACAAGAAAGCTCTCAGATAAATATTTTAAATGTTTAATAAATATTTTTTAATCGACACAAGGGGAAGTAGTTATAACTGCAGAACTTTTATTTTTGTGTTTACTAACCCTATAACAGCCTATAAAGACTACAGCCAACTAGCAGCAATGGAATGCATTTTGTGAGAGTAAATTGCTGTAAATATGTGCTATAATCAGCAGTCTTAAGGTCTGTGCACACCGAGACGTTTTTTGCTCGTGTTTTCTGTCGACGTTTAAAGCCTCGTAACTAAATAAAAGGCGTCAATGTGATTGTGCACACCAACGTGCAAAACGGCAGGCGCAAAAGCGTCATTTAAAAAAAAAAACGCCTCATGCTCGTTTTTTTTTTTTTGACGTGCGGCGTCAAAACCTTCTCCACCAATCAGATTGGCACTTTTGCTCATGTGCACAAAACTGCTGAAGTTACGGTAAACAGCACTTGGAGGCGCTCAAGCACAAAACTGTCAATGCGAGCGCACATTGAAGAAGATGCCCAGAGGCGATATGAACGTGGAGCAGCTTATTGCTCTGTGAACAATAATAATTTCTTCATCGCTAGAGCTGGAGCTGCTGCTTGAACGATCTATGCTTGTTCGAGTCACCAGTAACTTTATAAACAAATGTGCAAACTTCCTCTCCTCCTCTTCTGTGTTATAAGCGGATGTCAGAAGCTTAAACTTGTGCAGCGCCATCTAACGTTAAAAGAGTGATTTAGCAGACTCTTCAGCTTGACGCCAGTGAAAAGCGCTTGGGTTTGAACACTGAAAAACGTCTCTTAAAACGCTGACGATAAACGCAAACAAAAAATGTCCCGGTGTGTAGGAGCCTTTAATTTGTAAAAAAAAGTAGGACTGCATATATCCAATGTGTAAAAAGAAAAGCGGTATTTGCTTGTTACTTTTAATGAAAATAATTACACCTTTTTCTTCATTCCAAAGGACTTTCATCGTTATGAATATATTCACAAAGGCACCAACTTAACATGTTTAAAAATACCCCAAAAAACATTTGGTGAGAATAGTGCACACCATATGATGCACACCTCTTGATATTGGTGTATGATGGCCGACTGTCTGCTTGTTATGTTCTGGCCTTATGTCTGGCTATGCTATGCTTGCTATGTCCTGGAGAGAGGTCTTAATGGCTGTTTAGTTTAGAGAATGAGTCACTGCATAATAACACACCACTGAAGGCTGTTCTAAAATGCCATCTTACATGAGCATTTCAGCACAATTATATTTACTAAATGCAAATGATGCTTTGTTTACTTTATTTGTATAAGCAGTCTAAGTTTTATTTATTTATTTTTTTGAATGAAGAATGCAGACTATTGTTAGCTGTTATTTACGTAAGCACAGACTGTACCTACTGCTTGTTGGGTGTAGTCTTTGGCCCTGACACACAAACATTGTGAGGTGACAATGCAGTCAACTGTAATTAAAACTAAAACTAAGTCTTTGCAGTTGGTTAGGAGTGACAAGCCCTTCAGCCCTAGGTTTACTCTCAAGTCATAGCTGGTTTGGTTTGTTTTTTTTTTTTTTTTCCTGGCAAAGCCAGATTGAAACCATCTTATTTTTCTGAGTTATCTATCGCAAAAGTAATAAATGTTGTCATAAATAATTCACATTTTTAATAAAAAATTTATATTTGAGCAGAAATTTAAATTATCATCATAACAGTGCACATTTTTCATTTTGCTGTCATTGACAAAAAAAATAACAACAACTGTATTACCGTAACATAATTTATAATTATTATCATTATTGTTTGTTTTTTCAACTGTGATATTACTTTTAATAGAGATTTTTTTAATAAAAGTGAATTACAAGCAAATATACAGTATATAAAAACAAGCATTTTTATTCATAAATTGCATATATTTATTATTATTTATAAATTTTACAGTTGAAGTCAGAATTAGTAGCCCTTGTGAATTTTTTCAAAAAAAAAAAAAAAAGAAAAAAGAGGGCTTATAATTTTGCCCTCAACTGTAAATATTGCAAATATTCGGACTCACTGTATTTAAAGTGTGATTTTTGTTTTTTAAAAACTGTAAGAAACATTGTCTTCATGACTTTTTCAGTGAGAAGCAGATATAAATGCATGAAAGTATGAACTGGCTCTTTATTAGTGGCACTCTTTATCCTAAAGGAAACGCTGTTTCTACTGGAAATGATTACCCCTGCCATTGGTTTTGTTTTGCCTATACTGTAGGTTTACAACCAGTGCTCTTCTGTAAAACCTTCTTTTCATGGTTATTGACTGGTGCAGTCAGACTTTAAGTGCATTCCACTAATATCCTTTTTATTGTATTGCATTTCAAGGAATGTGAATGTGGTACTTGTGCTTGTTTGTGCACTACGAAGAGTGTAAAATTGACTTTGCTGAGTTTGTTTTTGAATAAATCAAAGAAGCTGAGCTGTTCAATGTAGATCTATTATCATTTTGTTATATACGTCACCAGGTAGGCTCCTGTACAGTATGTCAAATGTCATTTATTATGTGGTGGTTAAAGCTTGTTCTGGAATATTCTTGTTGAAGTATGTTTTTCAAAATCTAATTTGCCACATTCAACTACAGCTTGCAGTTAAACATTAATGACAATTATTCATTTGGATCTACCGAGAGACAATAAACATCCTGTATATTAAAAGAAAATATTAATTTATATATTATAAACTAAAGGGTACCATGTAAAAGACATCAACTACTACTAGCTGTGGAAAAAGAAGATAAAAACTGATTAAACAACATAAAAATAAACAAACCCGTGTGGCAATATATTCTTTATATATATTCTATAATTAGGCCCACACGGAATCTGCGCGCAGAATTCCGCAGATTTTCCGCAGAATTCCGCAAATTTCAGCAGATTTTTAGCCCATCATTAATTCTGTCTATTGACTTGAGTAAATGTGTAAATCTGAATTTATTCAGTTTTTGTTCAATAATTTATTACTTTTTATTTCATATATAAAGGTTTTAGTTATGATACTCCGCTGTATACTCCCAAAATAATTCTGCTGAAATTCACAGATTTTTACCAAAATTCTCAGCAGGAAAAGAAAAAAACGTCCGCAGATTCCGTCTGGCCCTGTCTATAAGTCACCCTGAGTATTCTCATAATAATATCTGTTTTTCGATCACTATTTGTCATGAAATCTATTGTTTTTGTCTATATATTGCGATTAAGATATTATTGTCATTTTAAGACCAATTTATGCCACTCATTATATAATGCCAGAAAGACAATATAATATCATTACAATGCAAGTACACTCTTCCAAACAACACATAATATTTTGTTTTTAAGAATATTTAGTTTAATGATAGGCATTTAAAAAAAAAAGTATTAGAATCAGAATGTGAATATATCCTTAATAAATTATAATAAATGTTAACAAAAATTTTAGATATAAAAATATATAACAGATGTTGCAATATCTGCCACCAGATCTATTTTTAGTTGGCAGACACCCACATGAAAATAATACTAAAGTAATTTATAGTTAAAAACTATAGATTTTTTTTTTTTTACCATACTGACACCTCCAACAGAGATAGAGATGTTGCACAATAAGCTAAAAATTATTGCTAGAATTGTTTTTATGTATGGGCGATATATATTGCATCACCAGAAATGATTAAGGTCATGTACATATGTTGTGCCATAAGTCAGCATTTTGATTTTTGTGACAGGCCTATTGCTAATTAACATAACCCCTGTCACTCTAAGCAGTCTAAACGTTCAAAAGTAGCGCTACTTTAATGGAGTGTTTGTTAAACTGTCATGCAACATTTACACGCATCACATGACACGTCATGAATATGAATGGAATTTTATGCAAGCTGTCATCAAGTGCCATTTGATAAGTTATGTCTTTTTAAATGCAAAAGTGAAATTGTTTGAGATGTCTTGTTATGGCAACTTGACTTTTAAATTCACCATAACCGGTCTTTGTCAAAACAACTTGACATAACTTATCATTAATCTGTAATAAACATGATTGTCATGATTTTCATAACAACATCATTGGTATTTTTTTGTTGACTGGGGTACAAATTGAATTTGTCATCAAAATGTAATTGTCTAAATTTTAATGGCACTTATAAAGTTATTTGTATTATAAATGTTATAACATCTTTTGATATTTAATATAAACTTTAAAATATTTTACATATTTAAAGTAAATTTTTTAGTAATAAAGTATTTAAATGTGAATTTTGAATGACATAAAGTGATTATAAACATTCATGATACAATAATATTGATGTCTTTATAATCATGTTTATAACAGAGTTATGTTGTGTTGGTAATGCTAAGTAGTTGTCATGACAAAGAGAGGTTATGACGTATTTGTTTGTCAAATTGTCGTAACAAATACATCTCAATTAATGATTTAAAATGACATAACTAAGGCCGTACTCACACTAGGTACAGTTGCCTCGAACCGGGCCAAAGCACGCTTGTCCCCCCTCCCGTCTCCCCCGACGGCCCGCGCTCACACCATTTCGGGCCTCGGCACGCTTACGTCATCGCTGCTGCGCTGTTCAGAAGCGCTCTCTATGGCAAGCCTTTTTAGCATTTAAATCTTTGTTCTGACTCCATAAATATATTTAGAGATATCTCTAATTATATTTTGACTAGTCATAATTATAATTCGACTAGTCAGAATGACAATTAGAGATATCTGCAATTACAATTGTACTAGTACGAAATCAGATTGGAGATATCTGCAAATATATTATGACTAGTCATATTCCTCCATTGACTTCCATTGAAAAATATTTGCAGATATCTCTAAATGAGTTTTGACTAGTCACAATTGTAATTAGAGATATTTCTAACTGAGTTTTTACTAGTCATAATACATTTGGAGATGTCTTTAATTCATCATATTTAGAGATATTTACAAATATATTTGAAGATATCTCTAATTAATTTACTAATAGTCGAATTACAGTTGTAGATATCTTGAATTGGATTTTTGACGAGTCAAAACTCAGTTAGAGGTATCTGCAAATATTTTTCAATGGAAGTCAATGGAGGAATATGACTAGTCATAATATATTTGCAGATATCTCCAATCTGATTTTGTACTAGTACAATTGTAATTGCAGATATCTCTAATTGTCATTCTGACTAGTCGAATTATTATTATGACTAGTCAAAATATAATTAGAGATATCTCTAAATATATTTATGGATAGTCAGAACAAGGTTTAAATGCTAAAACGGCTTGCTATACGCTCTCACTCAGTAGCACAGGGGAGATTTCTCTAGTTATATCGTTTCAGTCGTTTGATATGCCGTCAAATATTTCGCCAAACAGTCCTTAGGGATGCAGGGACACGCAGTCAGATATTTCGCCGAACAGATCTGCCACTTTTGGCGCTCATAAACAATCATAAAGCTCTCGTGCTGCAGGAATGAGGAGGTCTGCTGAAGGCGCGCAGCTGGCGTGCTGTGAGGAGTTTGCGTCTTTAATAAACTACGGCAGTTTGCGTACACTGAACAGTAAGAATGATTAATAAATCCATGTCAAACAGTCCCTTAAAAGTCACGTCTCGCTTTCGGTTTCGGGCTTTGGCGCGTTTTGCACTCACACACAAGCGTACCGTGCCAAAGCCCAAGTGTACCGCGCTCAGGCACACCTCTTCCAACCGGGCCAGGGCCGACCAAGTGAACCGTGCTTGAGCGCGATTCAGCGCACTCACACTTCTCAAACGATCCGGGAAACGGGCCTGGGCACGGTACGGATGGCATAGTGTGAGTAGGCCCTAAGTGAATGACAATTATCATATGCATGCATAAAATGTGTCATGTCATGATTACAGGTATGACACACTTATGAACACTCTCTTCAAGTAAAGTGTTGCCAGTTTGAATAAACAATGATTCGCTGTATTTTGCAGTGCCCACAATATCAATGTTTATTATCATGATAAAATGTGTTATCAAATTCACAGCCTAAAATTCTGTTAAGGGAAAGAAGTGCACATCGATGCTCCCTGATTTTCATGTTGCATTGCATTGTGGGACTTTTCAGGGAATTTAGCAATTTGAGACAGTCCTCAAATGGCTGACACCCTGATCAGTGCCCTGTCTACTGAACAGGAGAGCTGATTGAGATGCAACACCCTAGTCCTTGCTCATCAGTATGCATCAACAGGTTCAAAAAGTCAAAAATGATGCTCCTCGACTCTGTTTGCAGTTTAACAGCCTTTAAAGTGAGGTGTGCGGTAAGTGGTAGTGACTTATGATGTCCTTTGCTGATAGTGTCAGTACGCTGTAGTCATTATCTCTATAGTCATCATGTGGATTTGCCCTTGAGGGGAAAACCCAACCTCGTTAAACTTTTATCAAGCTGTCTACATTAACATCCCATAAACGGCAATAAAGCATTTTGATAGTTTAATATTGAACTGTCCTTGTGCTCTATTGCAGTTTTAGTATTTGTGATCGTGTAGTGAGATTAATAAAGAGGATGACATACTGTTGCTGTTTGCATGCACAGACTGGTTGTGAATATGAAAGGGGAACTAAAGCAACCTCCAGAAGGTCGTTTTAGGGTTAGTTAAGCTATTGTTTTTGCTTTGGTTTTGGTTAAATGAATTGCCATAACATTTGATATGCCAACAACATGTATTTTTAGCTTGTGTTAGGACTGTATGATATTGTAAAAAACAGACATTGTGATTCATAATTGCGATATTTTTTTTTTGATGCATATTAAGATTACCTATTTCACCAGATGACATTATACATAATTATAATTAATCTTTATTATATTTTATATATTTATTATATTTTATATTTTTTATATTTATTAACATTATAAATTTATGTGTCTAAATGCTTTAAACTGGCGTACACAGTCACAGATCTTAAAATTACATTCAAATGATACAATTTCTGGTAAATTACTGCAAAGGTTTTATTTCAATTGTAGCCCTGGTCAACAATAACCCTGGCTTCACATTGCAGATGTAAAGTTTGCAGATGCACACAACTGCGATATTAATGCCAAAACAATATATTGTGCTGCCTTACTATGTGTAAATCAATACACTGTTTTCATAAGTATAAAATCCAATCAAGACATACGAATGATAATTCTTAATGGCTTTGTGGGTGAGGTATGTTTTTAATACAGAATATTATATGATTAATATGAATTAATTAATTGTATTTATTTTTGTATTTCAGTTCATTACGATGTAAACCTTGGGTCAAAATATTTTTTTTTATCACAAAGGACTATGTTATATATAGAAGCATTTTAAGTTTTATATAGAAAACATTCTAAAGCTTTGTAATATTTTCGAATATTACAGATTGCTTTTTCAAAAACATGAACGATGAATATAATCTGAAAATAGATAGCACTTTAATGTTTTAAGTTAAATATTTCTTTGTAACTTAAAGGTATAGTTCACCCCAAAATAAAAATTTTGTCATTATTTACTCACTCTTTAATTCTGTTGAACACAAAAGAAGATATTTTGAAAAATGTTGGTTGCATTTGAGGCTGATTTGTACTCGACGTGTTCACTTTAGTGAGAGTGGTGACTGTGTTGTAATCGCAGTGTTTGCAAAGGTTCGCTTTAGGTGCAATCCACATGATTTCGGCTGGCAGAGCGCACAACATTTTTTGACACTTGAGCGAACAGTTTGCACGAAATCACTTTGAAGAGATTTTGTCTGAAACAGACATCTTTAAGATCCGTCCATGCGTGATCATGGGATAACCCGATGGCCAATTATTCTTGGCTAAAATTGCAACAGCAGTGGGAAAGCAAGAAAGTTTTTCTTAAAGTTTAGAAAAACTTGAGGGATAAGTTTGCTATAGTTACAGAATTTAACTTCACAATTACAGAATATGAATTAATTACAATTTCATATTTAAAACAAGTTAATAGATACAAAACTAAATAAAGTAACACATTATTTCTTTGATAACTGGAAAAGAATATTTGAACCTATCAGTTTACAATATACCGATGTCCTGTTTTTTCTAGGTTTTATTGTGATAATGGTCGGAAATGTTGGACTTGTTGTCTTTTTTGCATACAAGTAGAGGACACAAACTAGCCAGACAATAATTGTAAATTGTGGAAAGCTAAATAAAATCTTTTTTTAGTAAGTGTATTTTTTTTTTCCAAAATAAAAAAACCCGTTCTGTTGTCATTGTTTTAATAAACTTTAATAGTTAGGACTGTCAGAGATGTGATGTATCAAAGTTTGATATATATATAAAAAAAAAAATCTTATTTAAAAATATCTTTTGTGTTTAACAAGCTACATAAGGTTAAATAAATGATGACTTGAGTTAAGTTTCTCTTTAAGACTACTGCAGTAATGATTTGCAGGATCAATATTTTAACCCAACTGAAACAGTGAGAAAAACAGTTATAATTGCAGCATAAATCCATTAATCTATCCACCAACATTAGAAGTTTTAAAACTTTGCAGCATTGTGAATCAGTCATAAAATCGTTGAGAACTATAAAGAGAATATATGAGGACGCTGAGCATTGCAGATAATTCAAAAGATAAGCCGAGGATTTTTGTTCATGTGAATTTTCTTTTTTTTTTATTTGCAGAGGAAGAGTATAAAAGACTGAGTGAAGCTTTAGCAGATGAAGGCACCTACAATGCCGTGGCCTTCCGTTACAGCGCAGACTACTACGATCCCTCCCAGCCCACTGAAGAAGACGAGGCCAGCAAAGAAGCAGGTGGGATCCGTACAAGAAACCACACAACTTCAAAAAACACACACACTCACTTTGAACTGCTGCTCGCGAGTCAGCCTGAGGAGATTCTCTTTCTGAGACTAGTTTCTGTTCTCCTCAGACAGACTTTAGCCTACGAACTTCAAAATGCTCTGGGATGAAACGAGGCTATTTCCCTTAGGTCAAATAAGTATCGTTTTTAAGCCTCAAGGCACTGAAAATCTTAAAGTTTGTTGAAGAGTGCGCGAGCCAGGCTGTGGTTATGCTGAGACTGCTAATGACCAGCAGGGTCCGGCGGTTCACCACTGAAGGCTTGTAGCAAAAACATTGCTCTCTATGGCTGATTGCTTTATAAACACGGGAGCCTGGAATTAGTTTGAGTCCTCAGAGCTTGTCTTGAGTGGAAATACAGTGACAAATGAGTTTCTAAAATGAACAGTAATCATTCTTTATGCTTTTGTGCCTCTCATTCAATCCTGCTCGCACCAGCACTCTGTAGAGAACAAGACATTTGGCCCATGGCGAGCAGTCCTTATCCACTGACTTACTACAATCAAACAAACAGTCATCTAGTGTCATTGATGTCTTTTTCTTACCATGACTGTGATGAACTGTAATCCACACAGCTTTTATTCACTCAATTGAAAATCATTTACATTCATCAGCCTCAAACAGCACAACAGTCTCTTCACCGAACATCTGAAATTGCTCATGAAATTGGAAAGTACTATCTCAATTTGCTAATTTTTAATCTGATTGGCTTACTGTATACAATACACAGGATAATGTTCCACTTTGTATCTACAAGAAGCTCATGAAGTTAATAAAATGTTTAGTTATAATTCTAGTGTATTTACAAAGGATTTCTTGACATAAGGGGATTTAAGCATCCAAGTGTAGGCGGGTAGAATGAAAGCTTTTGAAGATGGTATAATTGGCTGATTTGTCAGGTCAATGGTATCTAATCTTTGAAAAGACGTTTAAACGTTTAACATCACAACATTTTAACTATTAAAAAGCAATCCCATCAAATTAATTTACCTCTGAACTACCTCTAAAATCAGTGATAGAGTGTTTTAGACCCTATCTGTTTTCAGTATCATCAGCTTGTGGATGGATTAATAAAAATGGCTCTTAAAGGACCATGAAACCCTCATCTTTCGGTTCAAGTTTACCTTTAGAATTAAAAAAAAAAAAAAAAAGCTTCATAATAGCATGGATCGCTGCTAGCAGAGGGATGCCGTTCTCCAATTCACGTACAGCGCTCTCGACAAAATGCTTGCTGCAAACTAACAGCTTTGCTTTATCGGTCCTGACAGCATTGTGGGGAAAAACATGCAAAAAACCCAGTGAATCATGGAAACAAACCCATAACGCAAGACTCTTCATGAACGGCTAAACACTGCTTACTGTAGACGAACGCGGCCTCACACGGTCATAGGGTCTCACAGCCTTCGTGCTTGCATGTGCTCTCATGAATAATTAAGAAGCTGGGTCTTCTCATTAGATTAGAAAACTCAGCTATGAATAATAATCAGAAACTGAAGCATTATCACTCCACTAGCAAGTTTGGAAAACACATATTCACAAGATTCAAAAACACAGATTTTTTTACAACTTGAAAAGGCATCTTTGGATATCTTTTGTTTCTTTAAATATAACGTAAGCCACTTTTTTTTTCCCTTTGAATGTTTTCTGAACCATAGGCTGACCAGTAGCTTTTGAAGTTGAAGGCCATTTTCTCCTTGAAATATTGTTGATAAACAAAACTAAATAAAATACTTGTAAAAAAACATGTTAAGCAAGTACATGCAAAAGGTATAACAAAAAAGTTTATGGTTTTAAAGCCTTGACTTTTCCAAACCGAGGTAAACATTAAAACTGGTTATCGTCCCATGCCTAAGAAAAGAAAAATGGGGTGAACTTTGAACAACTGTAATTACAGAATACAGAACACAAAACAAAAGTATCCATCTGGAGCTCCTCCACAGGAATCGACACTTGTTAAACACCTGGGCACTTGGAGCAGGAGCATACATTGGCCTTAAACCCATAACTTTATAAGATTAAGAGTGAAGATAATTAGATTAATAGGAGTTTCGTTTTTTTTTACTTAGCATAAAATAAAATATTTTTTAATATGGTTTATACCCAGTAAGCTGAATGTAATCATCATGTATTTCTCAAGTGGATGTCGATGGCTACCATCAAATGTTTGGTTACCAACAATTTTTGAAATTTCAGATGAGTAAATGATTTAAATAATATTAAATAGTCTGAAAAATCTTTTGGTTAAAAAGAAATCGTTTGTAGGTTGACTAACAGAACTAGATCTTTATAACTATATTTGCTGAATTATGTCTGGGAAATATTGTGTGCTTATTATTTTTGTGCTTACTAATTTCATGTAGTTTTCCAGTGTTTTCTGTTTAACCTTTTTTTAATGCCAATCAATTAGGGCTGCTTGACATTGGAAAATAATGACATTGTGATATTTTGTTTTTCTGCAATTAATATCACCATATGAATAGCATTTCACAGTATGACTAATAATAATATTTGGAAACCGTTCATAGATTTACATTAATTGTGATGATTTTGTAGAGGAGTGAATCTGCATAAAATATGATAAACATATTACACATTATATAATGGTCATTGTCAATTTTGAAATTCTTTTGTGATCTACTTCAAATTTTGACTGCTTTAGTATTCATTGCAGAAATAATTAAATGCAATTATTCTTGAAGCTACACATTTAATCATTTTTAGTGTCTAAATGGTTTAATTATTTGAACTTTTACATAGTCACATGCAAGCCTAAGAAAATTGGTGTTCTCGTCAACTACAATCCCAAGTCCACATTGCAGATCCTGCGATGTTAGTTAGTTAGTTAACTTTTGTTTGCCAATTAGTTAGTTAACTTTATTTGTCCCTGTAGGGAAATTTCATTTGCAGCATACACTCACAGAGACATCTGACATTTTACATTTGGCATTTAAATAAATAAATCATTTAAAAAAATGGTACCTCTACCCTAAATAAATATGCAGTCTTCTGGCCATCAACTGCTACTGAGGGAGGAGAAATTGAAAAACTTAATTGTTTGGGGTATAAATGATAATTTTTCCTATTTTTTACATGTTTAGGAACACAATATCAACAACCTAATTGTAATAATTGGAAGGGGCATTATAAAGGCTGTCTCTCATCATTGACAACGATGAGAGCCCTATTTAGTACTCCTTTTTTTGTGTGTATATACTATAAATGCACTTTAATTTTATTCCCAACAACTTACTGGTTGTTGTTACCACCTTCTACATTGACCTCTTCTGGGCCTTAGAAGCATTTCTATACCAACAAATAACACAAAATGTTGCAATACTTTCTATAAAAGCACTATAAAACAATAGTAAAGACAATAGTTTCTTCAAGAAGTAAATTCTCTTTTGAAGCTATTTCCTTACACAGTCAGACCACATATCCCACTTTTTTCCAATATTGCACCCAAATATTTATAATTTGTTACTAACTGAATTTGCTCCCCATTAATTAATTAATGTGTGAGGAGTTTTGCTTTGTGTTCTCTCTCTAAAATCAATAACCATCCCCTTAGTTTTAGACATGTTTAGGAGAAAGTTTGAATTTTCACACCAGTCTAAAAAGAAGTCATGAACCGGACCGCATTCTTCCTCCTCTTCATTTAAAAGACTCACCAAAGCTGTATCATCTGCATACTTTACAATATATCTATTTTTAAATGAATTTATACAAGAACTTGTATATAACTTGTATATACAAGAACTTGTATATAAAGAACTTGTATATACAAGAACTTGTATATAAAATTTATACCCCAACTAAACTTCTCTGACCACATTTCTAGAACTGCTCGATCGTGCAGATTCGCACTCTATAACATCAGAAAGATCCGATCCTTCTTATCTAAACATGCAACATCCAAACTGGATTACTGCAACTCTCTTCTAGCTGGGCTTCCAGCTAACTCTATCAAGCCTCTTCAACTGCTCCAGAATGCACCAGTACGAGTGGTCTTTAATGAACCTAAACGAGCACATGTCACTCCGCTGCTAGTCCGTTTGCACTGGCTGCCAGTTGCTGCTCGCATCAAATTCAAAGCTCTGATGTTTGCCTACAAAGTGACCTCTGGCCTTGCTCCTTCTTATCTGCTCTCACTTCTGCAGATCTATGTGCCCTCCAGAAACTTGCGTTCTGTGAATGAACGTCGCCTCGTGGTTCCATCCCAAAGAGGGAAGAAATCACTTTCGCGAACTCTCGCGTTCAATCTGCCCAGTTGGTGGAATGAACTCCCTAATTGCATTAGAACAGCAGAGTCACTCGCTACTTTCAAGAAACGACTAAAAACTCAACTATTTAGTCTCCACTTCACTTCCTAATCTGCAATTGCCTCTTTGAATATCAGACTATCTGTACAAAAAAAAAAAAAATAAATAAAAAATACTAATAGTACTAATACTTCTTAGACTTTACAGACCTGAAACTTGCCTATAGCACTTATTCATTGTTGCTCTTAGTTGTGTAAATTGCTTCCTTGTCCTCATTTGTAAGTCGCTTTGGATAAAAGCGTCTGCTAAATGACTAAATGTAAATGTAACAAAGGAGATAAAACACAACCCTGGGGGGCTCCAACTGAAGTACACTTTTTATCTCAAGTAAAACCTCCAATTTTAACCTGTTGGATTCTAGAGCATAGAAAATTGGACACCAATGCTATCAGTTTGTTGTCTAATAAAAAATCCTTTGCAAGTGTAGAAGCTAATATGCTAGGAGAAATACAATTAAAAGCATGTGACTATTGCAGATTCACACATTGCGATATCAATGCTGAAACCATATATTTTGTGGTCCATTACTATGCTATAATCTAAACCTAAAAACTAAAAACAGTGGTTGATTGATGGTTTGTCTATTGTAGCCATCAACATAAAATTAAGTGAAAATTAGGCTTGTAATATGCACTTTGTAACTACTAAATTGAGTTACCTCTAACTGTATCTTTGGCTCTAATGCACCAGCAACGTGATTCCATCTCCTGCCTCCATTTCCCTTCACACAGAGTTCAACATCAAATTTTAATGTTTTTTTTAACCTGTCCTGGCCGATTTACGGAGGCAGGGGTTGGAAGAGTGCATGGAGGCACGAGTGGTAAGCAAAGTTGATGGGGCTTGCTGTGTTTCTGAAAGTTGGAGTAATTCAAAATGATACTTAAAGTGGCGTTCTTCTAAAGTGCCCTTAGATAAAGAAACTTCATGGTTGTATCTCTCGCTCTTTCTCGATGTGTGTGTTTTTTCTCATTCTTTGTGGTTTATGGCTTGTCGATCTGATTTTGTCTGTTTCTTTCTTTTTTCCCGCCTTTGACCCTCTTCTTAGATCAAGAGCAGCTGGAGGAAGAGAGTGAAGAGCCGTTTGTGGCTCCTCCTGGTCTCCTTATCCCTCCGGATGTAGAGCTGGTGAGCATTATAAAGTATACTCATTTTGTACAATTGTGTACAATATTAAAACTCTGTTCAAGGCCAGTAAGATGTTAAGGCGGCTAAATTTGTCATGAAATGAAAACTGACGAAATTACCTTTGTTAGTGCACAATCCTATTCTTGAAGTCAACAATGAATCTGTGAAATGAGCAAGTGAAAACACAGAAAGTATAGGTTGTATCTTTAATCAAAATATGAAAATTAGCTTTTGCTCTGAAATATCGTTGAGTTTGACCTAAGTAAAATATTTTTTAGATATTTAATTTCAAACAATGTTTAGCAAAAGCTCTGACCTCGATATTGTATTTTATTTCATTTGAAAGTTGGTACACAGTTGATAGTAACTTACAGTTAATTTAGATTTATTTGATAAATAGCTGATGGCTTATGTATTATTATGTTTAAGTAAATTAAAATGTAACACTAAAGACTTAAATCAGATTTTAACCATACTTTTTAAAAGAAAATGTCCACTTAATGTAAGGTTATTTAGTGTAAATTGCTCTGGTGAACAATAATAATTTCTTCATCGCAAGAGATGCTACTTGACCCATCCATGCTTGTTCGAGTCACCAGTAGCTTTAACAAGCGTGTGAACTTTCTCTCTTTCTCTTCTTCTGTGTTATAAGTTGGGTGTCAGAAGCTTAAAGTTGTGTAGCGCCCTCTAACATCAAGAACTGATTTTGCATACTCTTCTGCTTGATGCCAGTGAAAATCGCTTGGGTTTGAATCCGTAAAAACGTCTCGTAAAGCGCTGACGATAAACGTAAACGAAAAGGTGTTTATGAGCCTTAACACTTACCAAGATAACATGATGGGCAAATTTTGAACAACAATAAATAAATGCACTACGATGTACTGGAAAAAAACCCTCTTAAAATACTAATAAATTGTAATAGATGTTTATACTTTTCTATGCTTTTTTTTTTTTTTTAAACCACTAGGTTTTAGCCATCATTAGGCCCACACGGAATCTGCGCGCACAGAAATCCGCAGATTACCTCCAAGTTTTGGCCCATCATTGAGTCTATTAATTTATTGTGTAAATGTATGTGCATATTATATTTATTCATTTTTTAAATTAATTTGAGTTATAATATTGACTAATATGAAAGTGTTCATTTGATTTATTTATTTTACTTTTTACAATATTTTCTGTCTTTTAGTAGTTATATTATATAATATGTTTACCAGATAAGTGGATCTAGATGGATTTGCATTGTAAACATTAAACAAAAGTAAAAAAGCTAATATTTTTTATTTCATTGATTAAGTTTTTAGTTATGATACTCCCAAAATAATTCTGCATAAATCTTCAGATTTTTTACAAAATTCTAAGCAGAACTGGCAAAAAATGTCTGCAGATTCTGTCTGGCCCTACCCATCATGTATAATTTGTACTTAACATTGACAATTCTGCTAAATGATGGGACATTATTTTACAGAAACGTGACATTTTCTTTTCACAAAAATTTTAAAGTAGACTCTTTACCCGAACTAAATTTGCTTTCTAACAAATGTTTGTACATTTCATTGCAGTTGAGTTTCATGTACAAAATACATGTATTCAAAAAGGCAGCAACACCAAAGCTCCAAAAAATAAACCAATTAATGGAATTAAAAAGGCTAACACAAAAGTGTAAGGTTTCGAGCACACCAGCTCTTCATCAAACCTGAAGAGCTGGTGTTCTCGAAATATTACACGCTTTGTGTTAGACTGTTTATTTCCAATAATTGGTATTTTTTTGGAGCTTTGGTGTTGCCCACTTTTGAATATATTTTTGCAGTTTTTGCTGGTTGGCTGAGGACCCAGTTAGAGTGATGTGCGTGCTTTTGTGTATTTTTTCAAAGTACGATATACATGAAATACAAAAATAAAAACTGTCTCATCCTTGACTTGTATTCATGTGGGGTATCCATATTAACTATTAATAGTGTTTTAAAAGATTAACCAAGTAATATACGGCCTCTCCACTCCACCAATAGCTGATGTGTGGTGAGCGCACTGGCGCCGTTGTCCTGTGGCAGCCGTCGCATCCTCCAAGTGGATGCTGCACACTGGTGGTGGTGCGGAGAGACCCCCCCTTATGATTGTGAAGCTCTTTGGGTGTATGGCCATACACAATAAATGCGCTATATAAATACACATTACATTACATTACAAAATAAGTCATTTTTAATAAAAAAGCAGCAATGTCACAATTTAATTTATGCATTACGACACCATTAAAACATACAGCATGAACGCATATTCATTTTTAGAATTGCTAAAGAGTACATATAACAGTGTAATTAAAATACTAATATGTTATTGTTGTAAACATTACCTTTAAGTGTCAGTGAGATGAAAAAAATATCTTGGAAATGAGTATGTGCTATTAAATGTCCACAATCCATATCAATTATTACCATATATGTTCAGATAGTGTGGTTGAAATATATTGTTCATCCCTGCGTGCATTTCCCAGCATATTAGAATGAAATATGTAGTTGATTTGTTTTTTGTTGTTGGATGTCATGTCTGATCATTTAAACCTCAATTTTGTAGATTTGCACTCTTTAAGAGGCCATTTATAACTGTGGCAGATAAAGATTATTCTCTGTTCTTTTCCATTCAGAAGAGTTTGATTGTAAGCTATAAAGGAATACCTTTGTACAAGCCGTGTGCACACGGTGGGTTGCTAACGTCAATCTGTACAAACCAGACACAGGCTTTTATCTCCGCAGGATCCCTCATTTGGAAGCCACATACAATCACTGATGATTTCTTTTTTACTGTGCCTGTAGCTGAAAGCAAGTTGATCCCTCCAAGTTATACTTCTCTAAAAGCTCAGGAGTCTCCATGTCCCTCATTTATCCTCTTAGACCAGGGATTTGTCATCACTTTCCCCAAGGCCTTACTTGAAACATGGCAACACAAATGCTTCCCCATCCAGTGTTGCAACAACATACCTCAATCTGGCTATTTTAAGTTGATGGGAGACGTATTCGTTTCAAGGTTGAAGGATTAGTTCAAACCTTCAGCTTCTCAGGCTTGAAAACCCCAATTAGTTTCAAGCCTGTGAGGTGCTTTGAAGGAGCATTGTGAATTATTAATCCTCAGCTGCTCTGATTACCTAGCTTATTGTACAGCACATAGCTCGAAGCTACAAAAGATCTGATTTTGAAGACAAACATTGGGTTATCTTCGAATTAGCAAGTCATGATTTCTATCTCTTGGTCTCTGGGGCTTTGGAAGCAATAGAATCTCTGTTTACCTGGACACCGGAGCTCAAGTGGAGGCCTACGAAAAGTTCTTCTCATGCAATATTCATACTCTATTCCCCTAATGAATGATATGTGTCATTTTCACATCCGTAACACGAATGAAAGCATTTGTCATTCAAAATACTGCGTCGTCATAAATCAGCTCAGCACATGAATATGATTTTGTCTGCAGCCTGAAAGATTTGTGACTCTTTCAAATCTGCATGTGTTGCAGGAAAGGAATTAATGACGTCCCCGGTTAGATTCATGAAGCGCCGCTCACACATAAATTGTTTGTGTGTAAACTGCAGTAGCTGGAAATCGCCTGAAGACATTGATGATAAATGTTCTATACTAGTTTTTCCCTTTTGCAAATTTTCTAATTAATCTTTATTTACTTTAAATGCCCTGTTCTCTTAGAAGCCATTTCGGATTGTCAGTCTTGTTTACCTCATTCCTTTGCCATCTATTTCAGCCTGCGACCACCAAGACTCATGCTATTATCGAGCGCACCGCCAACTTTGTATGCAAGCAGGGGGCCCAATTTGAGATTGTGCTGAAGGCAAAGCAGGCTGGCAACTCCCAGTTTGATTTCCTGCGGTTCGACCACTACCTGAACCCTTACTACAAGCACATTCTACGAGCTATGAAGGAAGGGAGATACACGCCGGCTTCAGAGGGCAAGCAGGACCAGCAACAGGGTATGTTTTGCATCGGGTACGGTTTATTACAGGGGTTGGCATCTTATGGCGCACCTGCCAATTATTCACATGCAAGCAGCTAAGAAAGTATTTAATTGATAGTTTTCAGTCACATGAACTATTCGGAGATCTGGTGGGCAAAAAACAATGGGCTGTAATGGCAACTACACTGGGATCTCCATAGAAACACAGCACAATTTGCTTATTTCTATCCATTTCGAGCTGTGAATATTTAGATCAGGGGTTCCCAAACTTTTCAGCTCGCGACCCCCAAATTAACAATGCCAGTAGCTTGCGACCCCCAATATCCTCTGAGGTGGTTATAAATACAGAAACCTTGCATGCAATGGGACGCACCCAAGTCTATTCTTCGTTATATTTTTTAATGTATGTCAGTGCTGTAAATGTGCCAGAAAGTTTAACCTGGTATTATAAAATCAATCTGCTTCATCTGACGCTATTGCTGAGTCTTTAGTATAATGTAATTACCTGAGGGGTCGCAATCCAATAGAACTAGTAACTATAAGCTACTATATTAACTATACAGTAGTGTATATAGTAACTGTAAACGACTATTTTTTTAGTAGGTTATGGATTAAAATGGTAATTCTTATGGTTTAATAAAAATATATAGATTTTTGGAAATCACCACGTGACCCCCCCTTCATTGTCCCGCGACCCCTTGGGGCGTCCCGACCCCCACTTTGAGAACCACTGATTTAGATCACATATAAACGGAACAAAACCGATATATATAATCACAAAATGTAAATCGTGTGAGCCTGTGATCCATGTACTGCACTTTAAATATGCATAGAAAGAATAAAGTTGCTGTCAAAATAATGTTTCACAATAGGGCTTTTTTCCACTGAGTTTAAAACTATGTTTTATGTATGGTTTTGAGTATGATATATTTTACAAGAGTTGAATTCATTTGTTTTTAGAATAACAATAAAATCTTATAAGTTGTCAGTTAATAACCCAAACAATTTTTCTTAAACAGAATCAAAGTCAGATGAATCAGATGACGATGACGACGGGGATGGGAACTACCTGCACCCGAGCCTGTTTGCACCCAAGAAGTGCTCTCGTCTGGAGGAAATAATAAAGGTATGGTTTCAAACATTCTCCATGTGATGACAAACCTTGTGCCTTGGATAAAATGCTAAATCATTACATGTTCCTAAGAGCCAAAAGACAGATGACGTGTAATTTTACACCCCGTTATGCACTGCACACTAAGCTCTTAAAAAAGATTATTACCATTAATTTCGAATGCAATTGATAAGTGTTCAAAGCCATACATTTATGTCAAATTACTCTTAAGTTGTTCTATTTCTTGACAGAACTGGGCCTGATATGAAAGCATCTGACATCAAAGTGTTCTCACTTTTTTTCTTTATTTGTTCAAATAAGGATATGAAGTTCTCATCATAGCTTTGATTTCTTCATCTAATATTCTGTATGTTTAATCTGAGTTGCTCTGTCATTTTTTTAAAGAGAGTGCCACTGAGAGGCAACAGAGATAAAAGCTTGTAAAATAAACTTATGTTATCTGATTTGGTTTCCTAATAGAAATCTTCGGCTTTTGGCTTAATGGTAGAAAGTTAGATTTTCAATCATGAACTAAAAAAAAAAACTTTATATATTTATTTATTTATTTAATTAATTTAGCCAATGCCAGTGTAATTATTTAGCTTGTGTTTAGCCTGTGGTTGTTAAAGTATGTATTAATTTGAGTGTTTTGATGTTTAAGAGCCTAATGTTTAAGTTTAGGTGTTTTAACATTTATCCTAGGTTTTTAGATCTCTCTGCATGTTTTTTTTACATCATGATATGGTGAATTGATAACCTAATAATAGCTCAGGAAACCAGTCCTGCATTCTTAAATGATGGAAGCAGGTTTAACAGGTTTGCATAGCACGTTAAGATAATCTACATTTACACTCACTATGCCAGTATTTTTGAAATATTTTAATGTTCATTTTATTCAAACAATCTATTGAGATTTAACAAAATTGTGACAATATAATACCATTTGTGTATCTTTAAAAGAAAAACAACAGCAACAACAACAAGAATGCGGTTGTTTCAGTTAGTAACAGGTTATTTCAGATAGTAAAACATTAGGAAGATAAGATAAAAAATACATTTAATTTATAGAAGATTATCATTTGGCAATGTTAATTTATTTAGTATTTTCCCATTTAATTTAATAAATTGCTGAAATCTGAATTTGAAAGGATATAATGACGTATATTAGGTGTTTAAAATGTTTTTTTTATACACGTGTGTATATTTTTAGTGCTGGGCTAACATTAATCGTAAATAATCTCATCCAAAATAAAAGTTGTTTTGATACATAATGTAATATTATGTGAAACACACACACACACACGCACACACACACACACACACACACATATATATATACACACACATACACACACATGCATACAGTTAAAGTCAAAATTATTAGCTCCCCTGAATTGTTATTTTTATTCCATTTCTGTTTCTTGGAGAGCAGATTTTGTCAACACATTTCTAAACATAATAGTGTTAATAACTCATTTTTAATAGCTGATTTATTTTATCGTTGCCATGATGGCAGTAAATATTTTACTAGACATTTATCAAGACACTTCTATACAGCTTAAAGTGACATTTAAAGGCTTAACTAGGTTAGTTAGGTTTACTAGGCAGGTTAGTGTAATTAGGCAAGTTATTGTATTATGATGTTTTTTTTTTCTATAGACTTTTTAAAAAATATATAGCTTAAAGGGGCTAATAATTGTGACCCTAAAATAGTTTTTAAAAAATTGAAACTGCTTTTATTCTAGGCGAAATAAAACAAATACTTTCTCCAGAAGAAAAATAAATATTATCAGACATACTGTGAAAATGTCCTTGCTCTGTTAAACATCATTTGGGAAACATTTAAAAAAGAAAAAAGAAATAAATCAAGTGTTTAATAATTCTGACTTCAACTGTGCATATCTATGTAATGTATATCTAAATATAATTAAGCATTTTCTCAAATATATGCATGCATGTTTGTTTTTATATATGCATAATAAATATAAACAGAACTAGGGCTGGGCGTTTAATCCAACAGTAATCAAAACCTATAATAGTGTACCTATGATAGTTTACCCTTTTATCAATCTGATTTTTGTCGCATATGGGGTCACATGACCCCACTCAGTTAGCCACACTTTGCAGCGACATCTGATCTCTGGTCTAGTAGGACGAGCATTGAGCCTTATTTTGCACTTCATTGACAGTGATTGAAAGTTGCGCCAGAGATGCCTTGAGACGGCATATTTTCCATTGCATTCAAATTATTATTTACATTCAAATATTTGTTTACAGAAGATGCAAGAAATGCAAGAGTTATTTTATTTAGAAGAGATACCGCTTTTTTCAACTTTTAATATGAAAAGCACTGAAAATAATTTATTTGTTTTCAAAAGTGCAAGTTATTCATTTTCACTTTTTCAATAATAAAAAAATGACTGTTGGTTTTAGTTAATGTGTGTTGTAATTTCATTTGTTCAACAGTGATGTTTAATAAATAATTATAGTGTGTGTTTCCTTCAAATATTTTAAAATCCAGTAAAATTCCTTCATTCAGAAATTTCTCTCTTGTAATATGTGAGCATATGTACGGCACAAAACCTGTCAGTGAACTATAGGGGCAGAAAATAAAGTAAATGAATAAAATAATCGTTTATTAATTGTAATAGAGTTAAAATTTTCAATAAATCAAGATTTTAAGCAAAATCGCCCAGGCCTACACAGTTCAAACACATACATTGTCAAAACAAACTTTTATTTTATGCGATTAATTGCAAATCATTTTTGCCCAGCACTAATTGTTAATCATATATTATTAGTATCTCTTTTATTATATAATCTATATTATCATATATGTTAATAATCTGCACCTATATTATTATATATGTTAATATATAAATCAACACATCAACGTTTTAATGAAAAAAGAAAAAGGTTATTCAATTGATTCAGTGCAATATGTTTTTAAACATAATAAGATCTACGATCATTGGGTGGCAGGTTTTTAATTAACAAAGCTTTCTACAGCTGTACCGATGCATGTGTTGCTTTGTTTATCATTTTTCAACCCATTTAAATTATGCTTCCCTAAAATAAAGTAAATCACTTTTGTAATTTCCACAAGACCTCATTTATGTTAGCCAGCTAAATGACTTCCCTGACATATTGAAATAATCAGGCTTTGCAACAGCAATGTTCAATCAATCACAGAAAACTAGATGCTTAGGTAAATGCAATGCATTCAAAACAAAACTTTTTGGACTCTGTGATCAATGGCTTTGCCGTACCGCCATTCTTATGCATGCTTTTGTCCTTTCTCATTCATTTTTTATAGTCTGTAAGAATGGGAATATAATAAATGGAATTTCATACGTGCTGTCTAGGATTTTTTTTCAAACCCAGAGAGCTCATTCATTGGAAGCTTGAAATATGAGCCCTTGAGGAATCATTTCTGCAGGTGTGATGAATATTCAAGAGGATAGTCAAAATTGTAAAACAGCACCCCTGGTGGTTAAAATTAACATTGCAATTTTCAGCTGAATAAGCATGTGTTGGAGCAATAGTGCAAAAACAAAAATGCTGTCATCACTTTCATGTTATATCTTAGAATATACGTTTTTATTCACTGAGCAACAAGCCGTAAAAGTGAATTTTAAAGACGTGCTGTCATGGTACTCTGTAGACATTTGTCGAGACTAGACAGAAATTGTATTGGAAGGCAAAAAAAGCTGGTGAAAGTACTTAAAAGGTCACCTCCTTAGGGGACAGGAGGAAATCGAGTGAAATTGCGTGTTCAGCATGTCGTCTAAAAAGAAGTGGACTCACAGGGAAAGCAAAGAAGCGTTCATGCAGGACGGCAACAAGCAGAAGTGATGACAGCATGCAGAAGTCTATAAAGCATGGAGTGACATCCAGTGGCAGGAAATACTGGGGAGAGACAAGAGTAGACTTGAAATCTTTGGACGTCCCAGTGTGTTAGATGTCTTATTCTTGCAGTGTTTTACTGGCCACCTCATACACTGTTGGAGCTCTGCCTCATATGAACTGGGGAAAGAAGCAAATGTAGCCAAACACTGCTTGAAGCTTGGACCGATTTGCCAGGAAGCTACCTGGAAAAAAAGAACTACAAAATGTTGAATTGCCTCCAAAGGGACCACACAAAAATACTGGCTGGTTTTAAAATCAGATTTATAGGCTTAAAGCAGTCATGTGGTTTTACTTGCAAATACATTTCCTTTTTTCCCTTTTGTTTTTAAATAGGTGTTTTTTTCTTTATTAAAAAAAAAAAAATGTTTTTAAAAGAAGCCTGTTCTGTTCACCAGTGCCACATTTCAGTGGGAAAGTTAATGTAAAATATAATGAAAGTTTAAATTATTTTTTTTCTAATTGGATGTAGTTTTAAAATGTTATTTATTCACCTGATTCAAAGCTGATTTTTCAGCATGATTTCTCCAGTTTTGATGTCCATTAGAAATCATTTTATTGTTCTGATTTGCTGTGCTGTTATGATCTGTTATGTTATAACAGATCAGATATATCTGTTATTGGGTCTTAATGGTTAATAATGATTCTTATAATTAGCAATGGTTTCAGACTTCATAGTTCTGTGTAAATGGATACATATTATTTTTATTATTACTATTTTTTTTTAGGATTTTTCACCTAAGTTGTAATGTATGGAATACTGTTTCTGGGTCCAAGCCGCTACTCATTTGAATTGAGAAAATATTTATTTATGGCCACTTTTTAGTCATATCACGCGTTAAAGTCAATTTCTTGTAAAATCATGGACTACACAACAGTCTCTAGACTTGCTGCATCACAGACACCAATATTTTAAGCTTTTATAAAAAATGTTTAACTTTCTGATATTAGGTATGGACATACAGCTGAAGTCAGAATTATTAGACCCCTGTTTATTTTTTCTCCAATTTCTTTATAATGGAGGGAATTATTTTAGTACATTTCTAAACATAATGGTTTTATTGACTCATTTCTAATAACGGATTTATTTTATCTTTGCCTTAATAGTGAATAATATTTTACTAGATATTTTTCTAAACACTTCTATACAGCTTAAAAAGACATTTAAAGGCTTAACTCAGTTAATTAGGTTAACTAGGCAGGTTAGGGTAATTACGCAGATGGTTGTATAACAGTTGTTTGTTCTGTATACTATTAGAAAAAATATAACTTAAAGAGGCTAATACTTTTGACCTTAAAATGGCTTTAAAAAATGTAAAACTTCTAGCTGAAGTAAAACAAAAAGGACTGACAAATAGGAAGAAAAACTATTATTAGACATACTGTAAAAATTTCCTTGCTATGTTAAACATAATTTGGGAAATAAAAAAAAACACACACACACAAAAAAACAAACAAAAAAACAAACAAACAAACAAACAAACAAACAAACAAACAAACAAACAAACAAACAAACAAACAAAGTGGGTCTAATAATCAGGACTACAGCTGTATACACTACCGGTTATACGTTTGTGGTCACTTTTTGTTTTCATATGTTTATCCAGGCAGCATTTAAATGTAAAAAAAAAGTTAGATTGTTAAATATTTATTACAATTTTTTATGTCTGCTTGCTTATTGTATGTATGATTATGTATCATTGTTGGTTTTAATTATTATTACTACCATTAATTATAATAATAATAATAATAGTAATGATAATAATAATAATAATAATAATAATAGAGAGAGAGAGAGAGAGACTTCAGTAGTTGGTTTTGGTAATATTCATCCTTGTGCTAATTAAAGCACTTTGTAAACATTTATTATTGCCATTTGTTGAGCCTCCCTGTACAGTTGGATAGAGAAGTTGGACTTGTAAGCTTTTAATTTGCAATTTGATGAAAAGCAAGTTTAAATAAAATAGAAGTATACATTTTTTTTGTAAATTACATTATTTCATATCACTTTCACTTTGAACAATTTCTTGTGTCCTTAGTGAATAAAATTGAATAGATTTTAATAGTATTCAATTCAATCACGATTTACACAAAAAATATGAAGAAGCACAATAGTTTAGCTTTTTACGGCGATAATAATAATAATAATAAAATTAATAATAATAAATGTTTCTTGTGCAGCAGATCATGATAATAGAATGAATTCTGAAGGATCATGAACTAAAGACTATAATGAAGATACTTAAGTCACAGGAATAAATACAATTTTAAACAAATTATTTGAAGAATAATTCATACTTTTGATGTTTAACTATGTTTTTTAATGTTTATACTCAACAGAATTGGCTTCTCTTAAACACATAACTTAAACACAAAGCTGAGGAGAGTGCACAGGCCATTGACCATATGTTATCATGTGTTGTAGCCTCTGCAGGTCATTGATCCAGATCACCCGTTGGCAGCACTCGTTCGGAAAGCCCAACAGCAGAATAATGGCACCGCAGCGCTGGTAACTAACGCAGAAGAAGAGCATCAACCGTCAGCAGTGGCCACACAGGCTGAATACACCTCTGACCGTGAGTATACCGACACATTCACAGCTGATATATGTGGTTCAACAGAAGGTCATGGACAAGGTTTTTAGAAGATTCAAGTGCTTAGGGCTTCACAGGGAATGTAATAAAATCATGCTATCTACTCGTTTCTTATTAGATCAATTAATATCAAGGTCCCTAAAATGATCTATTATTATTATTATTATTATTATTATTATTATTATTATTATTAGCAGCATTAATATTATGAACATTCTTATTCTTATTAATAATAATGCTACATATTATTAATGTTTATTATTATTATTATTATTATTATTATTATTATTATTATATTATTAACATTACTACTAATAATTATTATTAGCTTTAATCACAGCAATAAATAATAATAATAATAATATTATTATTATTATTATTTTATTATTATTAGTTGTTTCTTAGTAGATCAATTATCAGCAATATCCACATTATTAATTCTATAAATTGTTAATGTTATTATTATTATGTAGTAGCATTATTATTATTAATAAGAATGTTAATAATATTAATATTATAAATAATAATAATAAAAATAATAACAAAAAACAACAATAACAATAATAATAATTATTTTTATAATAATTATTATTATTGTAATTGTTTTATTATTTTTGTTAATAGTATTATTATTATTAACATTATTAATGATATCAATACTACTACTACATATTTATTATTACTAACATTAATCCTATTATTATTATTATTATTATTATTATTATTATTATTATTAATAGTTATAATAATAAAAATAATAATAATATTAATAATAATAAATTTTATTCAAATTATTAATAATTTTATTATTATAAATAAAAATATTGACATTATTATTAATATTAATAATATCACAAATATAATCTTCATTCATTCATTCATTTTTTTCTGTGTAGTTCATTCCACAGCGGAATGAACTGCTAACTTATCTAGCATATGTTTTACGCATGGGATGCCCTATATTTATAATAAAAACAACAACAACAAAAATAATAATAATAATAATGCTAATAATAATAATAGTTATAATAAAGTGTAAAAATAATAGTGCTGTTTAACAATTTCACTAGCACATTTCATTATTTTGATTTTATTAAATACATTTTAATCTCTATTATTATTGTTATTATTATTATTATTATTAGCATTATTGTTAGCATTAGTAGTAGTATATGTTGCAATATCAGTAATTTACCTGACCAAGATACTATATACATAATGAACATGATTGGAACTGATGTGGACCCCCTCAACCAAAAAATAAAAATGTCAATTTCAGTTGCAAAAGAGACCTTTTTTTTCACTAAGCCGACTTATGGAAATTGCTGCATGCATATTTTACGATGTGCATAAAAATATTTACCCTGCATCATATACTGTAAGTCATTGTGCTTGCTCTAGTGTAAGAACGGATTTGTGTCTTAACACATGGTGAGCATAAATGGGCTTGACATTAGCAGTGTATGCCAAGACCTAAAATGCTCCATAAAACTTGACACAAACTGAAACTGCAGCACGAGCCAGTTCTTTTTGCCTTTTTTTCCCCTTTTTTTTTGGTGGGTCTTGGCACGTCTTATGCTGATGAACAAAGACAATACGTCCTTTTGAGAAGAGCTTTAATGGAAGTAGGTGAGGACCATAATATCAGCTCTTTAAAGACTCTGGCAAATCATTAACATCTTGAATTATTTTTAGGATGATTGCTTTTCAGCGTGTCCTTGAGTGATCAGAGCAATGAAGCTGACTCTTTAATGCCAGCAAAGTTCATTAAATTAATTACTAAATTGCGCCCTGCTTATCTTTACTCAGTAATAATTCAACTTTAGCACTTTTAAGGCAGTTTTACTTTGACCTCTTGGATTTATTCTCACTACATCCTCAGATTTTGAACACCATAAACAATCACGGTCCTTTGCCTGCTTAAATATATTAAGTTATGGTGTCTGGAGTTTTTTTTTTTGTGGTTTTACAGTGATAACAGTTGTTATTATTGTGTTAGTGGTTTGGAGTATATTTTTGGTGCAAACACTATGTTGAGCTATTTTGACAGTGTTTGCTGTACATCAGAGGGATTGTTTTAGCTGGGTCGTGAGCTCATGGTTGAGTGACTCTTCTGAGCCAGTTCTTTAAAATGAGTCAAACCACTCACAAATGAGTCACAGATGAACCCGCTGATCTAAAATGAATTACTCTCTCATTGAATCAGCTGGAATGGGTTTTGAGGACTGCATTAATGTCCTATGAAGTTTCACTCTTT